TGTCTTCTGCCCACAATGACGGATCCTTGCCCAGTAATCACAGGACCTTTCCTCCCAGAGCTCAAAAGAAGCATTTGTGATGGAACAAGCATGACACAAACGAGGAAATGCAAAGGCAGCATAGAGGGAATTACCTGCGATGTTTCCGTTCATTAGGGGTGTGTAGGATAATTGTTACTTATGCAGCACCTGCCTTTAGGCCTGAGGTGATGTGGGGCCAGTATAAAAGTCAGTCCAAATGGATGCTTTCTCAACCACTTCTGTCACCTTCTTTTCATTGGGAACCAGGTGAGTTGGAATGCCTTTTTCTCCTCCACCTCCTCCTCTAGAACAATGTCTAGCCTTCAAGGGCAACGGCTCCTTGGTCTCATGTTGGTGCTCTGAGATCATGCTCGTGGGAGAAGGCAGAGGAGAGATGGTCTGTCATGGAGTTAGGCTGAGGCTGGGCTGAGATGGGTCTTTGGCCACAAGCTAGGCAGGAGCATCCCTGGTCTGGGCTGCTATCTGCAGGATTGTGCTGGGCTCAGGCAAAGAAGCCCTTGTTCCCCCCCTGCGCAGCCTTTACCTGCCCACCCAGAAGGTGCCTTGGCTTCCTTTTGGTGGGGTTGTAGGCTATTCCTCAGGTGTCCCTGGGCTCTGCTTCCTCTCTGTCCTCTCTCCCAGGTGAACCACCAGCCCCAAGACATGTCCTGCTGTGACCAGTGTCAGCCCTGCCAGCCCTGCGGGCCGACTCCACTGGCCAACAGCTGCAATGAGTGCTGTGTCAGGCAGTGCCAGGACTCCGCTGTCATCATCGAGCCCTCTTCTGTGGTGGTGATTCTTCCTGGCCCCATCCTCAGCTCCTTCCCGCAAAATACCATTGTGGGATCTTCCATCTCCGCCTCTGTTGGCAACATCCTCAGCTCTAATGGAGTGCCCATCAACTCTGGGTGCTGTGACCTCTCCTGTATCACCAGCTGCTGCTGTGGCAGCAGAAGGTGCCTCCGCTGCTAAAGCCACTGCTGACAGCCCAGACAAGAAGCCCCAGGAACCCAGAAGATGATGCCAGACTGAACAGTGGAGATTGTGGCCATTGCTTTGAGATGGGCTGAGCATGCCCTGCTTCTCCTGCAAAGGGTTTCAGCTCTTTGGAAGGGGCCAGCCTGGACTCTCTGAAAACATGATCAATGCTTCTTGTTCCTTTCTTCCACTATCTTCTTTCCATCTTTTTACTTTCTTGTTTTCTGCCCCCTGAGCTATGAGGCCAACGAAAGACAGCTTAGCAGCAACCTGCCTGTCCCTCTCCCTCCGTGGGGCACTGGCTCCTGGCTGCCCATGGTGACCCTTTCACTGTGGCCTCTCCTCAGAGACATCTTGTTTCTCTCTTTAGACTCATTAAATTCTGCTGCATCCCAGCCTCTGGCTCTGTGTGGTCCTTTCCTCTCTGGATGCTCTCTAAAATTGTCCAAGGAGAAAGAATATATTCCGTGAGGGAACAAGCAGGTCAGCAAGTGGACCCTTTCTCATTCCAAGGGGAATAGAATGGCAGGACAGAATGGCTATCTGTTGGCCTCCTTCAGTGATTTCCCTATCTTTATTTTGACCTTGTTCTTCCTATTTTTTACCTCATCCCACTGATCCAGGAGGAGCTAGTGAGCAGCTGTGTGGGTGCTGTGCTGCTAGCTTGCGCCAAACCAGCACAAGCACTGAGGCACATTCCCCAGGAGGGCACATTTGTCCCCAGTTCCTCTGACCCCACAATAAGTCTGCTGACTCTCTAGGGTGGTGAGGCACTGGAACAGGTTTCCCAGAGAAGTTATGGCTGCCCCCTCCCTGGAAGTGTTCAAGGCCAGACTGAATGGGGCTTTGAGCTACCTGATCTAATGGAAGCTGTCACTGCCCATGGCAGGGGGGGTTGGAACTTGATCTTTAAGGTTCCCTTCCAACCCAAACCATTCTATGATTCTGTGATGTGAGCCCTCTGAGCAGGCACCTCAACCCACAGGTTGCCTTATTGCCCAGCGGCTCTGATATTTTTCTCTGTCAGAAAAGGGGCAGACAACTTCTGGAGTCTTTTTGTCATTCTCTCAAAACATGGCAGCTTTTTTGGTAAGGATAATGGTGGATCACCATGATGGTAGGAGTATGTTGGAGATAACGTGGGAAGACTTCAGTTCTGGCAGTCAAGCCATATCTGGCAGATCTGTGGACCTTAGTCTATGTATTTCTTGCGATTCTTCTTGACCTATGTCGATATGCCAGAGAGACCTGGACAGGCTGGAGAGGTGGGCCCAGGTGAACTTCATGAGGTTCAACAAGGCCAAGTACAG